CCCCTTCGCGCGGGGTGTGCGCCGCGTCCCATTCCTGCCACGCATTTTGCGACGTGACGACAGCACGACCATGTTGACAAGAAAAACAAAAACTGTGTATTGTCTTTTGCAGATTAGAATGGGACGGATTGGATGGGCGGGCGCGGGGTGTGCGCCGCGTCCCATTCCTGCCATGCATTTTGCGACGTGGACGACAGGACGTCCATGCGACGGTGCCAATGACGGCGACGACTCTAGAAGGATTTGAGCATGCGCTCGCGGCGACGCGCGCGCATGTCGCCCGCGTGGTATTTTTGGCACAGGATTCGCGGCCTGGGTGCATGACAGAGCATCGCGAGTGCACCGCGCGATGACGTGAAATCGCTGGATTTGACCGAATTCTTAAGATTCCTATGGTTTTCTTATGATTTCAGCAAAAGAGCCCGAGCAGGAAATTTGTAGAATTTCTGTGAAAAAAAAAAAACGTTGGGTTTTCGATGTTTTTATGCTGAAATGCTTGCAAACACACGGTGTTCGGTAGGATTATGACATGAACGCGCGCGTGTGCTCTTTGCGGTATTCTTTGCAATGGATTATGGCCGTGAACGACAGGACGTCCATGTCGAGAAGGAAAAATAAGAAAAATGTTGATTTTGTATTGTTTTTTTTTACAGGTTTGGATGGGACCACCCGGATGGGGCCCCTATCTGCCGGCCTGAGGGGGGAGTAGGAGTATATTCTAATAAGGAATAAGGATAAGAGGAGGAGGATGAGGAGGAGGAGGAGGAGGAGGGGGAGGAGGAGAAGGAGGAGAAGGAGGAGGACTTGGAGGAGGAGGAGTTGGAGGAGGAGGAAGGAGAGGAGGAGAGGAGGAGGAGGGGAGGAGGAGGAGGAGGAGGAGGAGGAGGAGGAGGAGGAGGAGGGGGAAGAGGGGGAAGATGGAGGAGGAGAGGAAGAGCAGGTGGAGAAGAAGGAGGAGAGGAGGAGACAACGAGGAGGAGGAGGAGGGAGGAGGAGGAGGAGGAGTAGGGAGGAGGAGGAGGAGGAGGAGGAGGAGGAGGGGGAGTAGTTGAGGAGGAGGAGGAGGAGGAGGAGGAGGAGGAGGGGGAGGAGGAGGAGGAGGAGGAGGAGGAGGAGGAGGAGAAGGATGAGGATAAGATGGAGTACAGTACAGTACAATACTCAAGCCCTTCAATACCATCCTCTGACTGTTATGCTCTGGCTCGGGCTGGGGCTCGATAGACATTGCTACGCCACCCATTTCGGCAACATGCCATGCTGGCAACCATGCTGCTACCGCGACACCTTACATTCTGCTGATTCTGCTGCATATACAACAGCTGCTCTGACAAACAAAGAGTAGAATACAGAAAGACAGGCAACATCACTGAAATGGAGGAGGAGGAGAGGGAGGAGGAGGAGAAGGCGGCCGTTGTGACGAGGTGGGCCCAGCGGAGGGCGGCCGTGGTCTCGACTGGACCTCCTCCGAGGGCCACGCCCACCTCCGCCGCTCTCGAGGCTCACTTGGCGGCGAGCGAGGGGGGGAAGTGAGAAGGAGAAGGCTGCCTCATATGGCGGATGGACGTTTAAGGAAGCCATCGCGCCTTCTGAGAAATCCTGTGTCTTCGGGGAAGGTTTTGGAAACTTCTCAGAAGGCCGGGGGACTTCCGAACCTTCTGTGAAGGCCAGCCCCTTCTCACTCCCCCCGGGCTCGCCGCCGATCTTTTTGTTGCCTCCTCGGGGGCCTCTCGTTCTGGATCAGGGGACGCGGCCCGCAGGCTGGAGGGGACCAGATCGACTTGTTGTGGATGGTGCTTTCCTCCCGTCTCTAGCTGCCACTCTGGGGCCCTTTCGGGCACTGCCGCGTTGCCCGCATCTGAGATACGTTTCTTCGTCTCTCAGCCCCTCGTCTCGCTCGCCTGTGCTGGGCGGAGCCGTGGCCAATCACTGGCCTTCTCTTGGGCGATGTCGGGCTCCTCTTGGACTCTTCTAGGAGCCTCGCGGGCTGTCTCGAAAGCCTCTTGGGCCGTCTTGGGACCATGTTGGGCCGTCTTGGGGCCCTCTGGGGGTCTTCTTGGGCAGTTTCGGGGCCCTTCTAGGGTGATCTTGGGCCGTTTGGTACCGTCTTGGGGCCCTCTTTTGGGCCGTTTTGGGGCCCACGTGGGGGCCTCTGGGGGCGATCTCGAGCCGTCTTTGGGGAAAACAGCGACTCGGGCAAGAATTCTAAGAATGTACGTCTTCCCGTTGGCTTGGGACGATTTGGGCGTCTTGGGGCTCTCGTGGAGGTCTTCTCGGAACCTTCTTAGGGCGTCTTGGAGGCCGCTCGAGCCGCCTTGAAGCTATCTTGGATCTTGCTCGGGCGTCTCGGAGCCGTCTTGGACCGACTTCGAGCCGCCTGGGGGCTCTCCGGAGCCTTTCCCGACGCCCCCAGAGGCTATCTGGGCGCGCCCCAAGGCTCCGAGCAGCCACTCGATGCAGAACCCCTTTTCGCACGCACTTGCACCTGCGTTGTAGGAGAGACGACGTCGAGCTCCAGCTTCGCCTCCCGCGTCTCGCTCAGCAGCGCCAGCGCCCGTTGCCACTGCTCGCCCTTCTCGCACGCGCTGATTCCAGCGCTGTAGCAGATGACGTTTGGCTCGAGCTTTGCACCCGACAGCTCGCTCAGCAGGGCCAGGGCCCGCTGCCACTGCCCGCCCTTCTCGCACGCGCTGATCCCAGCGTTGTAGCTGATGACGTCAGGCTCCCGCTTCGCCTCCCGCATCTCACTCAGCAGCGCCAGCGCCCAGTGCCACTGCTCGCTCTTCTCGCACGCGCTGATCCCAGCGTTGTAGCTGACTAGGGCTGACCCGTGGACTCCGTCCACGACATCTTTCTGGAATGGTTCTCGGAGCAACGGCGCAGATTGTACCGAAAATCTACAAACACGGCGGCGGCTCGGGCGGCGGCAGCGAGACCGCGCCTTCGTGTCCGAGCTCTTGCAGCGCTGCAGCAGCTTGGCCCAGCGCGCTGCTCGTTCACCCCCCTTCTATTGAGGACAGTTTCGAAGTCTCTCGGGGATGTGCGTCGAAGTCGAAGCCCATCGGAGGCGTCTCAGGAGCGCTTGGGGAAGGGCTCGGGAGACCATCGGGGAAAGCCACCGAAAACGCCGGGGAGGCTCGCAAGGATCTACAGGGAGGGCCCAAGAGAGCTTCAAGAAAATTTGAAATCCAGTAAAATTACCTAACAGCGAAGACTGATAGGTTTCTAGTGGGATCAAAAGAGAGCAGCAGATCACTCCACAGGGGGGTCCGGGCAGGTGTTGGGAGTTGCCGGGCGGCAGGTGCCGGGCTCGTTTTTCACCAACAGTCACACACTTCGTGCTCTTCGACTTCCCAGAACTCCATTCCCAGGCCACATTCTCAATACCCGGATGCAACAGTCACACACTTCGTGCTCTTCGAGATCCCAGAACGCCATTCCCGGGCCACATTTAGAATAACCGGATGCAACAGTCACACACTTCGTGCTCTTCGACATCCCAGAACGCCATTCCCGGGCCACATTCTGGAGGGCCGTATGCAACAGTCACACACATCGTGCTCTTCGAGTTCCCAGAACTCCATTCCCGGGCCACATTCTGGAGGGCCGGATGCAACAGTCACACACTTCGTGCTCTTCGAGTTCCCAGAACTCCATTCCTGGGCCACATTTTGGATGCCCGGAGCCAACTGTAGTCCACTTCATGGTCTTCGAGATCCCAGAACTCCATTCCCGGGCCACATTTTGAATAGCCAGACGCTTCGTAGTCCTTCCGCCACAGCCGTGTTTGGTTCAGGAATTGCTAGTGACACTGCAGTCCACTGCATTCAATCGTGCCACTGCATTCACTCACTGCAGTCCACTGAGTTTCGATTGCAATGGCGTTCCCCTGGCCGTACCCCCATATCCAACGTTCATCCGCAGCCTCTGCTCCGCGAGGCTCGTCCGAAGTGTCGCCGCCTCGCGGTGCTTCTCAGCCTGCGCCGCCTCGCGGTGCTTCTCAGCCTGCGGAGGAAGGTGGACAGACGCCTGGTTCTGGCGCTGTGCAGCCTGCGTCTTTCACGGTCGCCTCGTTCAATTTCGGGTTCGAGCAGGGCATGATGACTGGTAAGCAGGCGGCCACTCACTGCGCTAACTTCGGAAGGGTGTGCGCCACGATAGTGGAGACCGCTGATGCTGATATTGTCTGTGGCTGCGAGGTCGGTGCGTTCCGTGAAGGCTTTCGCCGAGCAGGGATCAACGTGACAGAGATCCTCAGTAAGCCTTTCGGTGATGGCATTCGCTTCTCGGAGGTCGACAACTACTTGACTCTCTGGGGGTTCCGCGGTGCTTCTCAGCCTGCGGAACTGACTCTGTGCGAAGACAGCAAAGTTTACAGGCCTCCTAGCGGCCGAGAGATTGATGCTGTTATTTCACATTTTGAGGTGAACAAACCAGGCCATGACAAGTTCCACGTGGTGATCGCCAACATGCACATCGTGTGCGGCAAGAAACCGCCGACCATCCAGACTCGAAAGCGGACAGTTCGCCATCTCCGCTTGCACCTGGACTGCATGGCTCAGATTCTCAATGCTTCGGAGCCGCACGTGCCAGTCGTTCTGCTTGTAGTCGGCGACGACAACCTGACTTTCCAGGAGGCGCGGGAGGCTTACCAGCGCCAGCAGAACGACGAGAAGCTCTGGGAGGTCCATGCCACTCCGGCCGACCTCAAAGGCGACCACGTCGCGGTCTTTCGAAGCGCCTTTCGAAGCACAGGGTCGGGGCTTCACGCACGGCCACGGCAAAGGCCACAGCGTCATCGGGCCTACGATGGCGTGGCTGCGGTCGGCAGTGGTCGGAGGCCTGCGCACCGCCGCTCGGGAGCTGCGAACTGCCCTTCTTTCCACCGCGGAGACCGTGCAGTACGAAGCTGCCAACGAGCCCGCACGGCAGCTGGGGCTGCCTGACGTCGCGCCAGAGCCTTTCACAGCCAGGCAGCAACGACAGAGCCGCATGGACGGAGGGGAAGAGGAGGACGGCACCCTGCGCGACGAGGTGCCTCTAGGCCCGCCGGTGGAGCAGCCGCACCTGGTGGAGGAGCGAGCGCGGGCAGCCGCAGAGAACCGGATGCCTGCAATCGGCGCTGCAGCGTACCGGGGCCTCCCGCTCACAGGAGCCTTTCAGTCTACGTTTCCAAGCTACCGCCAACGAACTAGCTTCGGGCAACTAGGTGGCGCTCCTCAGCCTGCCATGGCAGCCAGCCATGCTAGCCTCTTCCAGACGAACGAGGAGGGAGCGATTCAGGAAGTCCTCAAGCCCGATGGCTCGCCGGCTTCGGTCGAGGAGATTACCGCAGATGCGGAGGCTTGGGCGGTTGCGTTTAGTCATGACTTCTTTTGCAACATCTGCTCCAACCACGAGCGCGACTGCACCGAGACGTGCGTCAAGTACGTCAAGAAGAAGCTCGAGGCCAAAGAGAGTCTGCGCTCGAACAGAACCCCGTCGTGCCGCTTCTGGTTCTTTCGCATCCAGCAGCTATGTCTAGCAGGCCGCACCAAGCGAGTGCGTCGGCGCGGCAAGCCTTTGGTCCGGACTCCGTTCATCGACTTCTCTGATGACCGCAACCAGCGGTGCCGCTGCCAGGTCAAACGCGACCAGCCGTTCAGGAGCTCCAGCAACGACGTCTCTCAAGTGACCAGCCGGTGCAACGTGGATTTCCAGTTCTTGATGTGCGCGCCTGACGAGTCTGCCGAGGCAGCAAAAGTGCTTCAGCCTGGTGGTGCTCCTCAGCCTGCCCAGGACGGGCTGCCTGCGGCCGCCCCAGTTCAGCTGGCCAAGCGCAGAAGGCTTACCAAGAAAACGGCCAGCATGAAGAACCCAGAGTCGGCAATCGCATTGCGCTCATCCAAACAACTCGGCGGCCGCAAAAAGTGGCTCTACGGTTGTGGCTCCTTGCATCCGACAGATGCATCTGTCGTGGAGAGCTTCCAAGCTGCTTTCCAGAAGGCTTTCTCAATGGACTTCTACATCACGAAGTACCAGGGCAAGATGATGGAGTCCATGACGCCGCTCTTCCAGTCCATGCTCACCGGCATGCAGCGTCTGGAGCAGCAGGAGAGGGACGAGAAGGAGGAGGAAGCCCGGAAGGTGCTCAGTGAGGGCGGCGCTGATGGCGAGGACCAGACGCTGGCCAAACGGGGCCGGACGCGCGAGGATCTCGCTCGCCGCGCTCGGCGGGTCTGTATCCGCCTGGCGTCGATGGCGAACCGGTGCTTCTGGCTCTCCACGACGGAGGTGGCCGTGCATATCCTCACAGGCGGCGACTGCCTCCAGTCGCACCACAATGTGCGGCTCTTCACGAGACAACTACAGTGGGCCTGCCAGCAGTGCAAACGCTTGCTAAACCATGAAGGTTCGGGCGGGGAGACGCATAATGATCAGGTGCCAATACAAGCAGTCCGCATCCAGATCCCTGACGCCGACAACGAGGAGGAGGACGCAGCAGGTGACACCAGCGGTGCTCCTCAGCCTCCTGGAGACACTCCTGCTGGTGATGAGCAAGGTGGCGGTGCGGAGTGCGAGGACATGCACGTGTGCACCACCAGCACGAACACGGCCGACGACTACGCCCACAGAGGCCCTCGCCTGCAGACCATGCCGTACTACGTCTACAGGATGTACGTCCGGCGAGTCCTGAAGCCGAGCCGGGTCAAAGCTTCTGGACCGCGATTCTTCGCCTTCGAGAGCCACTACGTCTTGGCTCCGCGGTACATGCAGGAGGTCCGGTTGACGCGGAGTCACGTCCCCACCATCGATGGCTTCCAGTGCCCGACCTGGGCACAGGACCCCGAGCAGAACTCGCTCTTCAAGGCCCTCCTCTTCACGCCTTGGGCGTGCGAGTGTCCCCTCTCTTGTGGCTGCGTTACTCAGTGCAGCCATATGCTGAGGAACTGCGACTGCCCCGCCGTGCGCCCATACTCGTTCGAGCGGGCCTGGCGGCTTCGGTGCGCGGAGATCCACGCGTTGGCAGCGCGCGCAGACTCCAGGAGCCGCCTGGCCCGCAAGAGGCTCGTGCTCGCGGACACGACCCTCTTCTCCGAGGTGAAAGAGCCCCGGGCGAACCTCGAGGAGGGCGAGCTGGTGCTCCTCAGCCTAGCGCGCTTCGCAAGGTCCCAGCTGGCGCGGCGCATGCCAGCGGAGGCGGCACGGCGCATCCTCGCCTTCAGTGACCACCACTGCCGGTGGCACGAGGAACAGTGCACCCTGGCGGAGTTCTGCGCGCACGTGGCGCGAGACGTGCTGGCGCACGTGGACCTCGCGGCGGAGGCGCGGGTTAAGCCTCGGCCAGCAACGACTGCACACCTCGAGGCGGATGAAGACTCCGCGAGCGATGCCGAAGGGCTCAAGGGGCGAGTCCCGCTGGAGCTCGTTGACGTGGGTGGAGGCGGCGGCAGCGACGTAGAGGAGGACGTGGAGGACGCCGAGATTACCGAGATCTCCCGGTTTCCGCTGCGGGACCACGTCAGAGCAACCGAGCTGGCCCTACAGCAAGACCAACTGCAGCGCTTGGACCAGAAGGGCCGCCTCAGCTACGCCGATAAGCAGTTGAAGAATCTCGACCGAGCGTACAGCGGCATGCTGCAGCCAAGCTTTGCACTGCCAGCCAGCAGCGGCGCGCGGGAACATCAGGGCACGCGGCTGGACGAGACCTTCTCTGACATGCTCGCCCTACAGCGGCAAAGCATTGCGCTCCAAAAGAAGCAAGCGAGCCCGGATGGAGAGATCTTGCCCGATGCTGCGGACGACTGGCTCCCCAGCGGTGCTCCTCAGCCTGCTGCCGAGGACGCCCAACCAGAACTCGTTCCGCAGCTCTTGGCCATGCAGGGCCCGGCGGCTGTTGCGTGGAAGCTCGTCACTGATGCCCACTGCACGGAGGAGCAGATTGACGCGGTGGCGTTGTTTGCGTTGTCTCTGCAGAAACGTTTTGACGGCAGACCAGACAAGACAACGCATCTCCTCCCCGTGGCGTCCGCGACAGGCAACCACAGAGCGATCTGGCTCGGTGGAGGCGGTGTCGGCAAGACGCGCACCCTCTCCAAAGTGGTGGAGCCGATGGCCATCACTTACTTCGGCGAGCAGGGGTACCTCGGCAAAGCGCAGTCCAACCACGCCGCACACAACCTCGGCCCGCGCGGCAGGACCATGCATTCCTCCAATGGCCTGCTCATGTCGGATTCCATGCAGACAGCCAGGCTGCGCTTGACGCCACAGACGCAGAAAAAGCTGGATCGCCTCACAGGCACACTCGGCGTCGACGTGATCGATGAGCTGGGTGCTGTGCCGGGGCCTTTGCTGCATGCAGATGCACTGCGCACGACCTACGGCAGGGCGTTGCGCTACAACCTGGACCCCACGAAGTACATGCGCCCGCAGGAGACGTGGGGACGCATGCCTGTGAAGATCTTGTGCGGGGACTTCTACCAGTTGCCGCCAGTCCCCGCCACCGCTTCCCTGCTGGCGCCTCACGCGGGCCAATCCTACGAACACCAACAGGGTAGGAAGTTGCTCGCCGACATCGAGTACGTCATCGATTTCGTGCAGATGCAGCGCTTTACAGACCCGTTGCAACTCGAGGTTCTCCACGCCATGAGAACTCCAGGCGGAAAAAAGATCTCTGACGAGAGCTGGCAGGCGATCGTCAAAACAGAGGTCGTTAGCTCTAGCGGTGCTGCTCAGCCTGCTGCCAGCAGCAGCGAAGCCGCTCAGCCACCTCAGTGGGGCCCTCGGTTGCGTGCAGCACGAGGCTGGTACGAGTCGGCCTATGAGTGGCGCATCGTCTCTTACGCCATGCATGCACAGGCCAAGCTTGATGCGCACGATGCTGGCCAGCTGCTCTTTTACGTCCCAGCAATCGACAGACCAGCTGCGCGCCTCGCGAAGCCTGATTTCGACGAGATGCGCGCGGAGCCCAACATCGGCGCTACCGCAAAAATGCCGGGGCTGCTGCCGCTCTTCGTTGGCATGGAGGTCATCCTGACAGAATCCGTCTTGCCGCCGAAGTATGTCCGTGGCGCGCCAGGCAAAGTGGTAGGCATAGAGCTGCACGCTCTGGAGCCTCCGGTGGAGGGCCGCCCGTCCATTGTCTCGGACGGTGTGGTCGTACTCTACTACATGCCAAAGGCCGTCTATGTCAAGATCGATGACAGCGATGAACTTTTCTTGAAGGCCGCGCCGGTGACAGCTGGCAGTGCTTCTCAGCCTGCCGGCCCCGACCTGCGCGGAGTGCTCGCGATCACCCCGCAGGCGCGCCCCTGGAAGTTCAAAGCGAAGACAGGTGGCCCGGCCATCGCGGTGTCCAGGACGCAGTTGACCGTGCTGCCCAAAAAGCAGGGGACTCTGCATGGCGTCCAGGGCAAGACGACGGACCCAGGCTTCATCGTGCACTGGACGTTTCCGCCAGGACTCAAGAAGGAGTCCATTTGGCTTGCCTACTACGTCAGCCTGTCGCGCCCCAGAAGCTTCAACCAACTCTTGAGCCACGGCTTGCCTGACCGGAGCATCATCGAATCCGGCCCCCCGGAACAGATCGCCAAGGCCTTCGCCGAGCTCTTCACGGACAAGATTGCCGCGACGAAGATCGCTTGCGCGAAGGCCCGACAGCAACTGGGATGGCCTGCGCGAGCTTGAGGAGCCATGAGATGCAGGTTGCGTTGTGGCGGTGCTGTTCAGTCTGTCCGTCTGCATTCGCGTGGTGCTTCTCAGCCTGCATGCGCGTGGTGCTTCTCAGCCTGCGCTCGTGTGCAGCTGTGCGCGGTGAGCCTGCACGTGTCGCGGAATGCTTTTCAGCCTGCGCGTGTCTGCAATGCTTTTCAGCCTGCACGCTTTGCAGCTTCTCCGCTTCGCACGCCGCTCCTCAGCGCGGTCCTCTGAAAAAAAGAACAGTCATCATCTCATCGTCGCACTCATCATCGCACTCATCATCATCATTCATTGCCAGCGTTGATAGCAGTGTCCCGTTTTTACACGACTCGCACTGTTGATAGCAATGTCTCGTTTTGACACTCCCAGCGTTGATAGCAGTGTCTCCTTTTTACACGACTCCCACCATTCACAGCGAAGTTTCGTTTTGACACACTGCGAGCGTTGATAGCAGTGTCTCCTTTTTACACGACTGTCGCCATTCATAGCAGTGTCTCGTTTTGACACATTTCCAGCGTTGATAGCAGTGTCTCCTTTTTACAGGACTCTGAACTACAACTACTACTTCACTGTTACCACTGTTTCATCTTTCCTGCTCTTATTGCTAATACTACTGCGAGTGTTACTGCTGCTGCATGCCCCCAGCTATGCTACTACATATCGCTGTTAGGTTGCTTTGCCGGGATAATATTTAGAGAAACCGTTGTTGGGTAGGCCATCACCTCTGGGCGCGCCTTGATGGTGCGTTCCAGTCGCATCACCGCCAATGGGAGGGTTTGTTCGCCATGTCCCATTCTGTTCGCCCAGAGGGTCTGTGGAGGCCTTCGGGCGAACAGAACGGGACAGGGCAAGGAATGGGGAAGACATGTCCGAATCTCCTGGGCCCCCCAGGTGCTCGTCCGAAGAATGCGGAGAGGTCCCAGGGTCATATCAATGCGTTGGGCTCGAACTTTGCATCCAACAGCTCGCTCAGCAGGGCCAGGGCCCGCTGCCACTGCTCGCCCTTCTCACACGCGCTGATCCCAGCGTTGTAGCTGACTAGGGCAGACCTGTGGACTCCGTCCACGACATCAGCTCGACGTGGCGAGGGGTCTCTGGGCAAGCGCGGGGGGGTGCGGCTGCAGGGCCGAAAGGCAATCATGATGGCGTCGGGCTCCTCCTCCTCCTCCTCCTCCTCCTCCTCCTCCTCCTCCTTTTCCACCTTCTTTTTCTCTTTCGCTGGATTCTCCATGCCCTCGGTCGGCAATCGTCGATCCTACGACGACTCTCCCCAACAGAGAAACATCGAAGGCCCTCGGAGCGTCCAACATTGTTCTTTTGTGCCTTCGATATGCCGGTCGCCTCTCGTCCGCTCCCCCGCTCCTGGAAGGAATTCTGAAGGCACTGAAGGCTTCGTAGGGGCCGTTTCGGAGCCTCTTCGGCCTTCGTTTGGGCCTCGCGGGGGGGCTCTTAGGGCTCTCTCGGGCCGTCTTGGGTGCCTCTTGGGCCGTCTTCGGGCCATCTGAGGCCCTCCTTGGCGCCTCTTCGGCTGTCGTGGGCCGTCTTGGGCCGCTCCTGGGGCCGTCTTGGGTGCCTCTTGGGCCGTCTTGGGCGCCTCCTGGGCCGTCCGGACGCCGTCCTGCGGCGTCTTGGGACCGTCTTGGGGCCCTCCTGGCCCGTCTTGGGGCTCTCTTGGGGTCCTCTTCGGCCGTCTTGGAGCGGTCGGGGGGGCGTCTTGGGCCGTCTTGGAGCGTCGGGAAGCCGACGAGGCGAGGAGGCCGAAAACATTGACAAACACAATAGAAATCGACGATTTCTGTCGCTCGGGGCCCTCTTGGGAGGCCTCTTGGGAGGCCTCTTCGGGCGTCTTGGACGCCTCGAGGGCCTCCTGGGGCGAATCTCGGACGTCTTGGGCGCTCTTGGGCTGTCTTGGGCCGTCTTGGGCCGCTCCTGGGGCCGTCTTGGGTGCCTCTTGGGCCGTCTTGGGCGCCTCCTGGGCCGTCCTGGGGCCGTCCTGCGGCGTCTTGGGACCGTCTGGGGGCCCTCCTGGCCCGTCTTGGGGCTCTCTTGGTATCCTCTTCGGCCGTCTTGGAGCGGTCGGGGGGGCGTCTTGGGCCGTCTTGGAGCGTCGGAAAGCCGACGAGGCGAGGAGGCCAAAAACATTGAAAAACACAATAGAAATCGACGATTTCTGTCGCTCGGGGCCCTCTTGGGAGGCCTCTTGGGAGGCCTCTTCGGGCGTCTTGGACGCCTCGAGGGCCTCCTGGGGCGAATCTCGGGCGTCTTGGGCGCTCTTGGGCTGTCTTGGGCCGTCTTGGGCCGCTCCTGGGGCCGTCTTGGGTGCCTCTTGGGCCGTCTTGGGCGCCTCCTGGGCCGTCCTGGGGCCGTCCTGCGGCGTCTTGGGACCGTCTGGGGGCCCTCCTGGCCCGTCTTGGGGCTCTCTTGGGGTCCTCTTCGGCCGTCTTGGAGCGGTCGGGGGGACTTCTTGGGCCGTCTTGGAGCGTCGGAAAGCCGAAGAGGCGAGGAGGCCGAAAACACCGAAAAACACAGTAGAAATCGACGATTTCTGTCGCTCGGGGCCCTCTTGGGAGGCCTCTTGGGAGGCCTCTTCGGGCGTCTTGGACGCCTCTTGGGCCGCCTGGGGCGAATCTCGGGCGTCTTGGGCCCATCTTTAAGCGTGCCGGGGCTCTCCGGGGCCGTCTTGGGGGCTTCTGGGGGCCCTCCCGACATGTCCTGGAGCCTGCCTGGGCGGCCCGGGGCGGCCCGGAGCCAGCCCGGGGCGGTTTTGGTGCATTGGAGCCTGCGCCATTCTGGCACGCACTGGGCCCTGCAATGTAGTAGAGACTAGGGCTGACCCGTGGACTCCGTCCACGACATCTTTCTGGAATGGTTCTCGGAGCAACGGCGCAGATTGTACCGAAAATCTACAAACACGGCGGCGGCTCGGGCGGCGGCAGCGAGACCGCGCCTTCGTGTCCGAGCTCTTGCAGCGCTGCAGCAGCTTGGCCCAGCGCACTGCTCGTTCACCCCCCTCCTATTGAGGACAGTTTCGAAGTCTCTCGGGGATGTGCGTCGAAGTCGAAGCCCATCGGAGGCGTCTCAGGAGCGCTTGGGGAAGGGCTCGGGAGACCATCGAGGAAAGCCACCGAAAGCGCCGGGGAGGCTCGCAAGGATCTACAGGGAGGGCCCAAGAGAGCTTCAAGAAAATTTGAAATCCAGTGAACTCTTAAGAGAAACCGCTGTTGGGTCGGCCATCACCTCCGGGCGCGCCTTGATGGTGCGATCCAGTCGCATCACCGCCAACGGGAGGGTTTGTTCGCCATGTCCCATTCTGTTCGCCCAGAGGGTCTGTGGAGGCCTTCGGGCGAACAGAACGGGACAGGGCAAGGAATGGGGAAGACATGTCCGAATCTCCTGGGCCCCCCAGATGCTCGTCCGAAGAATGCGGAGAGGTCCCAGGGTCATATCAATTGGCTGCTGTCCCAGGGGTCCGGTCTGCTTGGCCCGAAGAGTTTGCCAAGGCCCCTGGGGGAACAGAATGGCACAGCATATCGGGCAAAGGGGGGCGGTAGCTGGCCTGTCAGACCCGGCGTTCGTCTTCTGCCCAAGCGGCGCGGGGCCCACGGGCCCCAGGGTTGGCGTCCCGCTGGGATTCCTCTTGTTCGCCCACAGGGTTGGAGGAGGCCTCCAGGCGAACAGAATGGGGCAGGACAATGAATGTGGGAGACTTGTCGCAAGCTCCCAGCCCCCCCAAGTGTGCGCCCGAAGGGTGTGGGGCCGCGTTGGCTCCCTCCAAGGGCCGTCTTGGAGCCGTCTAGGCCCGTCTTGAGGGCCCCGTTTGCCCTGATGGGGCCGTCTTGGTTCGTCGTGGGCCCCTCATGGGTGCGTCCGTAGGCCGTCCTGGGCCCATCGGGGTCCTCGTGGGGCTGTCTTGGAGCCGTCTGGGATCGTGAGGAGGCCGCCTTGGAGTCGTCTTGGGCCCCTGCTGTGCGCCTCCTTGGGCCGTCCTGGGCCCAGCAGGGGCCGTGTTGGCACCCTCTTGGGGCTGTCTTGGAGCCGTCTTGAGCCGTCGCAGCGCGCCTTGGGTTGTGCTGGGTCCGTCTTGGCCCGTCTTGGGGCCTTCCTGGGCGGTTCCTCGGACCCTCCTGGGACTTTCTGGGGCCTCTTGGTGCATCGGACCGCCGAAACGGCGGGAAACGCAAAGGGTGTAACAGTAAACAATGGAAAATTAACGATTTTTGCCAGCTGGGACTCTCTTGCCATCTTGGCCCGTCTTGAGGCCCCGAACGGGCGCGTCCTTGGGCCGTCCTGGGCGCACCCTCCTGGGACCGTCTTGGAATCGTCTTGGGCCGTCTTGAGCGCGCCTTGGGCCGTCCTGGGCCGGTCTGGGGCCGTGTTGGCACCCTCGCGGCGAGGAAGCTCGGAGGCTCGAGGCCTCTTCGGGGCCAGTTTGGAAGCTGTTGGGGCCTCTGTAGGGGCCTCGTTTGGGCTCCTTGGGAGCCTCCTGGGGCCTCTTCGGGGGATTCTTGGCGGCCCCTTGGGGCCTCTTGGGGGCCTGTTTGGGCCTCCTGGCGCCCTCTTGGGGCGGAAGGCTCGGATTTTCGGTCCGTGGTCCCCCTCTTGGCCCCCTCTTGGGCCTGTCTTCGGGCCCTCGTGGGCCGTCTTGAGCGTCTCTTGGGTCGTCTTGGGGCCCTCTTGGGCTGTCTTGGGGCGCTCTTGGAAACCTCTTGGGCCGTTCTGGGGCGCTCTTGGAAGCCTCTTGGGCCGTCTTCGAGCGTCGGAAAGCGGAAAAGGCGAGAAGGCCAAACTCCTTCCAAAACCGTCGTAAAGCGGACGATGTTGAGGCCCAAAACCGTCCAAAACCTCCTGAGGCGGTTCCCTCTTCCGCCCCCCTCGCTTCGAAGCAGTTTTTCAGCCCCGTGGCACCTCTTGGGGATCTCTTTTGGGCTTCTGGGGGCCTCTTGGGCCTTCACTGGATTCGCTGCCCTCGGTCGGCAATCGTCGATCCTACGACGACCCTCCCCAACGGAGAAACATCGAAGGCCCTCGGAGCGTCCAACATTGTTCTTTTGTGCCTTCGATCTGCCGGTCGCCTCTCGTCCGCTCCCCCCCCTCCTGGAAGCAATTCTGAGGCCACTTAGGGCTTCGTGGGGGCCGTTTGGGGATCTCTTGGGGCGTTTTTGCCTGCGATATGCCTGTCGCCTCTCGTCCGCTCCCCCGCTCCTGGAGGGAATTCTGAAGGCACTGAAGGCTTCGTGGGGGCCGTTTCGGAGCCTCTTGGGCCTTCTTTTGGGCCTCCCGGGGGGGCTCTTAGGGCCCTCTCGGGCCGTCTTGGGTGCCTCTTTGGCCGTCTTGGGGCCGTCTGAGACCCGCCTCGGCGCCTCTTGGGCTGTCTTGGGCCTTCTTTTGGGCCTCCCGGGGGGGCTCTTAGGGCCCTCTCGGGCCGTCTTGGGTGCCTCTTGGGCCGTCTTGGGGCCGTCTGAGACCCGCCTCGGCGCCTCTTGGGCTGTCTTGGGCCGTCTTGGGCCGCTCCTGGGGCCGTCTTGGGTGCCTCTTGGGCCGTCTTGGGCGCCTCCTGGGCCGTCCTAGGGCCGTCCTGGGGCGTCTTGGGACTGTCTGGGGGCCCTCCTGGCCCGTCTTGGGGCTCTCTTGGGGTCCTCTTCGGCCGTCTTGGAGCGGTCGGAGGGACTTCTTGGGCCGTCTTGGAGCGTCGGGAAGCCGAAGAGGCGAGGAGGCCGAAAACATCGAAAAGCACACTAGAAATCGACGATTTCTGTCGCTCGGGGCCCTCTTGGGAGGCCTCTTGGGATCGGGCGTCTTGGACGCCTCTTGGGCCGCCTGGGGCGAATCTCGGGCGTCTTGGGCCCATCTTTAAGCGTGCCGGGGCTCTCTGGGGCTGTCTTGGGGGCTTCTGGGGGCCCTCCCGACATGTCCTGAAGCCTGCCTGGGCGGCCCGGGGCGGCCCCGGGGCCAGCCCG